TCAAGCATCTTAATTGATCATACTGTTTTTAATAAGCTATTTACAGGTTTAACTAGACTAGTTTGTGTGATAGTTATCATCACTTTCTTAATTTACTGTTTGTAATGAGTATATTCCCAGGGCAATTCAGACCCCTGTGTGTTTTTTTTCTTCTCCACTTTCCCATGTAGGATGGGTTTATGTTTCCAAATTCTTTCTTTCGCCTGTCTAATTTTCCTTTTAATGGTAACAGCCAAAACTGTGCATTACCATGTATTTCTTACCACAAAAAACCACTTTTTTCCCCTCTAGATATTTTTAGGAAGTTTATTCTCTAATCTTGTCTATTTCACAACTGTGTTTTATTTTTCCTGGAAGCTCTTTTCTTAGGTTTGCTTTCAGAGGCATATGATTCTAATTCAGGCCAATGCTTTCTGTATTAAGTGGAAAAGCAATGTTATACAAATATCATTCCCTTAAGGGTCACTTCTCCTCTGTTTCCCATTCTGTGTGGCTTTTCTTCAACTCTGTTATGCATAGATGATCAAGAGTGACTCTATTCATTTTGGCCACCATCTGCTATTATTGCTTATTCTTTTGCAAACATCTATCTTTTAAAATATTCAAACATACAACCAAACAATTGGCTTGCCTTGTATTTTTATGGCTGCCGAAGTACATTCGGTAAGGAAGGTGCACTGAATGAGAGGTTGTATTTTTAAAATGCACTAGTAATTTGTTACATCTTTTTGTGTAGAAGAAGTATGACACAAAACTGTTTGTAAAATGACCATTGAGAATATGTGGTAATATTATAGTTACTAATTTGTTTTCATGCTTAGAATCCAGATACAAACCTCCTTTTCTAAAGGCGAAATACATTACTTTCAAAAAAAAAAACAACCCCAAAAAACCAAAACAACAAAACAAACCCCCCAAAACCCCAACCCACCAGATACTCATATTGTGGACAAAATGTAGAAAAAAATATTGCAGAAGACAATGGAAAGAAATTGGAAGAAAATACTGCAAAGACAAGGAAGAAATTCTTCACCCAGAGAAGCTGGGATGCCCCATCCCTGGCAATGTTCAAGGCCAGGTTGGACAGGGCCTTGAGCAACCTGGTCTGGTGGGAGGTGTCCCTGCCCCATGGCAGGGGGTTGGAACTGGATGATCATAAAGTCCCTTCCAGCCAAAACCATTCTTTGATTCTGTGTTTTGTAAGAGGAGTATCTCAAAAAAGGTGTTAGAAATAATGGCTCTAGTATCTTCTCTGTGACGATAATACCTTGATGTGATTAATGAGAAATTTGTCATCCAAGGAATGCTGTCTCAGAACAGCATATTCAGGAAGCAGTAGTAAAAGATGTAGTATTTACATATACAAAGCTTAGATACGTGGAAAGAGCTTCCAAGGTGTACAGCAACGATACAGCTACAGCAGTTGAGCTAGTATGTTTCTTGTATTATATGAACACCATAATTACAGTTTATTCTCTTAACTTAAATTAAAGGAAATGCAGAATGAATAGAAGTTCAGGTATAAGAATGTATTAGGTAGGTGGTCCACAAAATAAATTAAATGATATCTGCATGTTTTGAGATTTGCGTGGCAGAATACAAAACAGTGGCTTTTGATTGTCTGGAAAACACTTCAGAGGTATTTAAACCACTTTAGTAACAACACAACATACTTTACCTCAGTGTTAAAAAAATACTTGAGGTACAAATACATAGACAAAACTTTCAATTTCTATGTAGTTAGCATTGGCAGTTCCTTTTGTTTGAAACAAAAGACCCATTTCTCTTTATATCTTTCATATGCCAGCTCCTCTCCCAGTGAAAGTGAGTAAAATGTTGAATGACAAGTGCTAGCCTGAATTATTAGTTCCATAATCATACACTGGGAGTCAAGTTTGTTGCACTTCATCTGAGTCTGTATTCAATTAGAAAAAAAAGTAAGGAAGAATCCTGCCTTTGTATACCTAGGCTTGAGTTGCAAGTTTGCATAACATTGCAGCTGCTCTTGATTTCAGTTAGGAAAGCTTTACCTCAGTACTTGCAATAGAAAACACATTGTTGGGATAATATAATTATTTTTGTACATAATTAGGGGAAGACTTGATTGAAGAAAAGGCACAAATTGCATTTAGTCAAATGCAGTGGTAAATAGACTCATTATTTACAGCCTGTTGAGTTAAACTCCACAAATTACCACGTATTTATGAAAAGACATCACAGTTCAAAAAAGAAGACAGCATGGGGTTTATAAGCATGTTTGATTGTTTCACAGCTACACTTTTTTCTTTTTTTTGTTTTCTAATGTGTCTCCTGTAGCTGTCATTAATACATTTTGCTTCTGTGAGTGCACACGCACTTTCTGTCTGTTTCCCACTGATTTAGTCATGTTGGACCAATGACAGTTCATGTGTAGGTGCTAAACTTCATAGAAAATATCAGCCTGTTTTTTACAACATTGTTGAAGTAACAGCACTGATTGAAAGCAAAGATATAGGTGCCTAGCATTTAAATAAATACAACAATATATATGCATGTCTATCTTTTTGTCCTGTTATGGGTTTTCCCAATGATCCTCTCAAGAAATTACAAACCCAAAGAAATGCAAACAAAAATCCAAACCAACAACACCCCCCCCCCAAAAAAAAAAAAAAAAATACAAACCAAACCAAAACCAACCAACCAAAAAAAACCCCAACAAAACAAAACCCTCAAAACAAACCCCCAGACCTTTAATCTCTGGTATTATGTTATGCAGTAATTTCTGTCCTCTTTAGTTGAAGTGCATCATTCTTTTATAAAGTTTAGCTTGTCTTTTTATGTTTTTTTCACTTGATTTTTAGTTTGCTTTAATGTGATTCCTATTTCATCTGTTTCATTGGTACAGAGGTTGGGTATATAGTGATTAACAGTCTTGATCTTTTTCTCATGATACTAAAAGGCTGTCTATGTAAGTGACCAAATAAACAGTTCATTCCTGTCTTTTCTTCTTGGATAAAACTGAGACATTCTCTCAGGGTGATTGTGAGTATTCTCAGTATTTCATAAACCAAGCACAGCCTGAAGGAAAAGTAGATACCTGTCTTGTCTGAAACACAGCCATTTATCCATGTATTTTAATGTCGTAAAATCAGCAGTGCTGTTGAATGCAATGAATCTGTTCATCTCATCTCAAGTTAATTTCTATGTAACGTGGTTTTGGGCCCAAATGAAACATTTCAATCATCTTTCTAGCTCTTAATTACGTAACTAATGCATACATGCCTTAGATTATTTCTACTAGATTGTTCTAAATTCTGAGTAGCCTTATACTGTTTTTCTGTATTGTCAATGCTGTGTGCTTTCAAAAAAGAAAGAAACATCATTTTACCATTAGGTTTCTTTTCAGTAAAGCCACTATTTTGTAGCTCCATTAACATTTACTCTAAAAAGAATCTGGAAAAATACAACATGATAGCACTGATTGTACTTCTATAAATTTTGGTCTGATGTGAGTCTGAGGTTGTAAGAATAATAGTTTGAAGGATGTGTGTGTTTTTTGTGTTTTATAATCACTTCCAGTATAATTTTAAAGAGAGGATTTTATTGTGTATGTATCCAAGTTATAATATGTAGTGGTGTAACATTACCCACACACAAGAGGACACACTAAGTCCTCTGGAATATAATTATGAAAACCTTTTCAGTTAGGGTAAATAATATCTGCAAAGAAAATAATAAAAACACCCCATGAATGTGGTGCTATGTATAATTTTTAATGTTTTGTATGAATTTGTGGATGTGCCGGAAAACCTAACTGATCTTACCTTAAAGTTGTTTTGGTTTAGTTACGTGAAGCTCTGTGGCTGAAGATTATCGTTGTTGTTTAAGCTGGTTTAAACAAAAGAAAAATAAAGTAATCTAACATGCCATATTTTCTTTTCATACCGTAGTCTGTTATAGTCAAAAGATTACAAATAAAGAGTTCCCATGGTGAAGTGAGGTTCCAGGATTCAAATAAAGACATTTATTGATCTGAAAAACTTTTAAAACTTATTGTTAAGTTTTGGTAAAGTTCTTTCCTGTTCACATTAGAGATTTTATTTTGTATTCCCTCTCTGAAACAAGCACAATGCTTCTTCTCTTCCGTCGCTAAAATTATGTATGGAATTTTTTTTTTTTTTTGCAAGATATATTGGTGTTGCTTGAATAATTTTTGTCCTTGGATTTTTCTGAATTTATTACTGAAGTAACAATTAATTTAAGTTTTAAGGACCATTTCCTCTTTATCTTTTCTATACTATTTTAGTTTTTGTAATCTTGCTTCAGAGTTTTTTCAGAGTTATTGATGGGACTAAATAATTAGACTTTACTATTCATCTGGGTTTCTGTTCATCTCTCTGCTTTTCTCATCCCTCTCTTCCTAAGAACACATTTAGTGGCCTGATCTCCATTAAAAGCACTAGATACTATCTGTGTAGATCTATAATACCTTCTGAAAATATATCATATAGTTTACAGAAGATGGCTTAAGATGCCTGTAAAAAGATTCTTAAGGAATTTTCTTTCAGAAAACAGTGAATGCAGCCAGTATTGCTTTGGCATCTTCATTATTACAGACAATTAACATTTTTAAGTATCCCACACACTGTGAATGCTGTGTGGAAGATCTCCCTAATACTAGAGCAATGCTAAAACTAAATTCTCTGTGGAAAATGAGCCAGCAACTTTAGAGGCAGTGGTGTAGTCTGACAGCTACTAACCATATAATCTGTCTTGCAGATTTCTGTTTAACTTGACTCTGGAGCAGAAGAGTAATACTTTGTTCTCTTATCATTTTAGCTACATTCTAGACTTCTATTAAAGATGTTTCATGGGAGTGTATTTTCGTAGACTTATCTTTAAACTGGTCTATTTCTGTTCTTCATTTGCTCCTTTTCATGTAGTGTTTAAGTTCAACAACAACAAGAAAAACAGCTCTGCAGAATATGAAAATGTATTATTAGAAAAGTCAGCTCTGTGGGATGCAGTATAATATAGAATACAGTTGTATCTGCAAGACAGCTTAAAATCATTTTGCTTTTCTCTGTGCCCCTCTAAGAAGAGTCTGGCTGCATGTTCTAGACGCACCCCTTTGGTTACTCGCATGTAGCAGATAATCTTTCCTAACTGTCTCATGGCAAGACTGACCAGACCCTGTGCTGTCAGCCTCTCCTCTTATATTTGTGTGCTTCAGTCTTCCAGTCATGTTAGTGGCTCTCTGCTAGGCCTGTTGTGTCAATGAAATTGCTGTTTTTCAATGGAGTTAATATCAACTCAGTTTCTTTCCAGAGGATTAAGGTAAACTGAGTGAATTGTTAGGCATTTAGCTTATGACTATTTAGCAGAAAAAAAAATCATGCAGTAGAGGCTTATTAAAAGTTGTTAAAATAATCTGATTGTTTTTTCTTACTGAATGACTGAGCTGTTAAATAATGAAGAAATAGTAGACGTTTTGCTTTGCCTCTGGAAGGACTGTAGTGTCCTGCATTAACTTTAATTTGCCTTTGAATTTATTTTTTATTTGTTTTTAATTTAAAACTCCACCAACCAAATTCTCAAAACCATCTTCAACATTCACCAGTGATATAATTTTTAACTCAGAGATAATTTAAAATTTATTTCAACATACTTAAACGTAGTTGAGTCTGCCCAGATTTTGCTCAGTTTTTGTTAAATTTGGATATGGCCCCCTGCCTGGTCTAAGTCCATCCCAGTCTGAACTACCTCCTGAAGGGCAGTCATCTTCTCTTCCCATCTGCCTATTCATGCCGCTTTACTTTGTTTGTCCTCTGCAGTTGTGTAGCTTCATACAAAGGAAGACTGCACAGAAATCTGAGGAAAAAAAGACACATTACATAGTGTCACATCCCAGGCTAAGATTAGCTTAGTTTTGTTGTGAATACACATCCTCATGCGTGTTTTGCTAGCAGTAGTGGAGTGATTGGATGACCGCAATCTGGAGAGGTTGCAAGCACTTTGTAATTCAGTATGTAAGTGATTTTTAAAAATGAGTTTAAATCACTGAGTTGAAATTCAGTTGCGGTTAAGTACAAAGTATTATGGAAAGAGAAATCCAGGTTGCAAATAAAAAATTGGGAAACATTCAGATAATTGTTTTGTAGCTGTAACAATATTGGCTCAGGTTTAATAGAACAAACACTAAGATTTGCTGAGGTTACAAAGAAACACCACTTCTAGCTTTAGCAATACAAGTATTCATTGTCTTTCTCACAGGGGCTCTGCTGCCCCTGTGGATCTGTTGAATGACCAGGCTGTGTAAGTGCTGTTAATTTATTATGGGCAAAATGAACTGTTTCATCTCAGAGCACAATTTAAACTTTATTTTAATAATCTGCCTATTCTGAACTGCTGTGTGGAGTGACTGAAGAGGTGGAAGGGGTGGGAAACAAATCAGTGGTTTCACAGTATAGCTAGGTCCTCTGCACCCAAAACTTTAGGAACCATGAATTTAGAGAAGCTTAGAGGGGGAAAAATGTTTATAGGAAGGAATATGTAATTGCATATTATTAAAAACTGGTTCATGCTGACTAGTGAAACTGAACAATTCCCTTCTGCACAGGTATTTATAAAACAGTAAAAGAATGTTTTATACGCCTTGAGATGGCTTACCTCAAGAGAAAGAACTAGGATCTTCCACTGAGGACTTTTCCAGACAATATAATTAATCTGTCAGATATATGAGGAATGTATGCAATAGTGGAGACACAAGAATCGACCAACCAAACTAAAAAATGTATACTTTGAGAATACTTGTAAGGAATCTAGAGTTTGGATGACATGGGTAATAAAGGCCAAATATGGTGGAACTACACAGTTGGCTGATGAAAGTACATTTTGATATGACTGAAGGGTAACCTACCAAAATTCTAGTTCACAGGACACATTTTAAATGGCTCCCTCCATTTGTGTTAAAATTATTGCTTTTGATGAGGATTGGGGGTGTATTTTGAGTAGTGCAAATATTTAGAATCATACTGTGGACTTCTAAATATTTTAAATTCAGCAAACTAGGTAAGTGTGCGCAGCTAATTTGGGCAAATACGAATAGGAGCGGGCAAGAGCTGAGAGCCCCATGCCTTTTCAGTATTGTGGAACCCTAGACAGTGAGGTAGCAGGAAGGCTCTACTAATACCTAGCATTATTTTGTACAGCTAAATGTTCTCATACACAGCGTGCTGTCTTTAGTCTCTGTTTTAATTTGAAAGTTTAGAAAAGCTCTAAAGAGGACTATCTCAAATTATTTCAGACACCACATCACTTCACAGGAGGCAACTTCCAATGTAAGGCTTTAGTCAAGAAATCAAGTAATCATTTGTAACAGAAGTGTGCTTTGCACAGAAGACACAGCTTTTTGCTATCAATAATGAAATTGTCAAAATAAAGTACAAGAATACAAAGATACTTGCGTGAGTCCCCGATACCGTCAGAATAGAGTAGCATATCAGCTTCTTTGTTTTACAGTTCTGATGTTCTGTGGACTCCTTAAAAATATTTATTCCACTAAGAAGTTCTTCAGAGGTTCAGAAGCTGAGACATCTGAAAACAACCATTAAAATTCACTTACCAGTGATTGGAGATAGAGAGGCTACCTACGATTTTTGAAAGCTGAGATGTCTAAAGTTTGGGCGATTTGAGAGATTAAATAGACACAGCGTTACAACTGAATTAAAATTAGTATGTTCCTCTTGTCTGTTGCTCTGTAAACACAATCAGATGTGTCATCACCACTAAACAAATTTCAATTATAGAAAATGAATGTCCACTCTGTGTGGGTTTTAACCTTATTGGCATTTGTTTTCAGTTGTCTCTAAAAATCTCATGCATTTCATGTTTGGTATAATAATTTTGAAGTGGATTTGTATTTATAGAATTTTTTTTTTTTTGATGATGCTTCAGTTAATTGTGAAGGGTTTTTTATTTGGATTGAGTTCACTTGTATGGCACTATTTGTCACCTTTTAATCTGCCCTGTTGCTTAATGTTAAGTAAATGTGTTAAATAAAAGTTAAACTATTTACTTGCTTTTATAGGTATCTAGATATTTTCCAGTAGAAAGACTTCTGTTTTCTGTAAGATGCTGTTACCTCAAGTGTTAATGAGTTTCCAGCTATGAAAATGTCATTATATACCTTAAGTATTTAATTATAAATTTGAAAAATCTTCATGAGCAATCTCAAAGGAATTTTTGGAACACACTCATAGTAAATTGGCGCGTTTTCTTGTAATTTACTAGAAGGGTTGATATGAGAGCATTTGTAATGTGGAAAGTATATTAAACTGTGCATTGTATATATTAAATTATTGCTTTAAAACTTTAAGACATTTGAGATAATTTAGGCTTACTCTTGTTGTTTAGGATCACAGTAGAGAAATGATCCCTTCCTTTGAGGTAATGCATTTGAAATAAATACAGCAACCGTTAAACAGTGCAGTAATAAATTAAACTAAATGTTGCATAACCATGTATCTGTTCTAAGAGATTATTGTGGTTGAAGAGAGTCAACAGGAGCCTTGTAGTAAACTTTGTTTCCTTCTGTTTTTAAAAGCTGTCCAGAAATACTTTCACTTGAGGTCTTCTCTGAAAAATAAAGCCAGTGGTTTTGACAGCAAATCCTGGAGCAACTACCTTGATGTCATCCTTTGGAGACAAAATCATCCTTTGGCTGTACTGTTTTAAATAAAAGCAACCTTTAAATAACTTTTAGATTATTAATAAGTTTTATTTTTTACTTTTCTTTTTTAAATCTATTTATATATTTATTAGTTTATAATTAAGTTTATTTACAAAAGTTAAACTTCTTGTTATTATCTAAAAGTGCATTTCTGAAATGGTTGTGAAACAACTATGATTTTTTGTTTTTATTTTTTTACTAGAATGTGAGAAGTGGAGGAACCGCAGTTCATTTCAATACTGTAATATTAATCAGAATTATTTTTAAAACTGGGAGACTGAATATCCTTGCTCTTTATGGAGACATCATATGAAAGCAATGTCTAAGTCTTTGTAAAACTGTTGCCCAATAGACTAGAAAATGGAGTCACAGCTGGACCCCATGAAGGATGATTTGCCCTTAATGGCCAACACAAATTACATGCTTGTGAGGCATTATGTATTGGACTTGGATGTGGATTTTAAAAGTAAAGTTATACAAGGCATCATAGTTTTATTCTTTGAGACTGGGAGCCATTACCTGAAAACCAGCAGTAGTGGCAAAGAATGCTGTCAGTCACAGTTTGATGAAACCTGTAAAGTGAAGCCATGTGAACCCTGCTACATGCCTATGACAACTGTGAGTGCCTGTTCACCTAAACTGGAATATAATGATTTTGCTGTCTGTGGTAAAGGTGAAGAAGACACTTCTGATAAAAATGGTAACCATAGCAACGAGGCACAGGCTTCTGGGATTTCTAGTTCAAAGGACATCTGTGACATACAGAATCATGGGAACAAGGATTTTCTGCTGGTACTGGACTGCTGTGATTTATCTGTGCTGAAGGTTGAGGAGGTAGATGTTGCTGCTGTGTCAGGCATTGAAAAATTCACAAGGTCTGCCCAGCTAACAGATGTTTCAAAGAAGCTGGAAAATCTCAGTAATCAGATTGTACATGAACTTGTGACTTTACCTGCAGATCGCTGGAAGGAACAGCTGTACTATTTTACTCGCTGCAGCCAGGCACCTGGCTGTGGAGAGCTTCTGTTTACTACTGGCACTTGGAGCTTGGAGATAAGAAAATCAGGAGTTCAGACTCCAACAGACTTTCCTCATGCAATAAGAATATGGTACAAAACCAAACCAGAGGGAAGATCTGTTACATGGACTACAGACCAGAGTGGCAGGTATGTAGCTATTAACTAAAAGCTTTGCACACAATGATTTTAAACATAGGTGCAAGAATGTAGAATTATGTAATGCTGAGCAGCTGTGAAGATGATGAGCATCCTCTTCCACTGTTTTCATTTTCTTGTTTTGAATCCTGTTGCTGTAGAACAAACTCTGCTCAAGAAATCCTAACAGACTTGCAGACCTCAGGCCTATCTAAGTGATTCGCATTTACTCATTCTGAACGAGAGTAAATAATTATATATTAGAGTAAGTGTGTGCAGGTAATAAGGAATTACGACTTGGGGGAAGAGAAGGTATGCATGATGGGGTATTTTTGCTTTAATACTTTGTACTAGCACACACAACTGATCATACAACATTAAGATCAGTGTACATAATATTTAATAGAATTGCTTCACAAATAGTCTTATCAATATTGTAGTAAGTTTAGAAATCCGGTCTTTTTCTGTTAGTCTCTCATAATCAACTTCTAAAGTCTTTATTAACTGCAAACTGAAACTGCAGGAAGAATTTACAGTTTATCTAGCATTTGTACAGTGCTGTATCTTTAAGATAAGCTGTTTGCAGGGGGATGTCCTATAAAGCAGTCCACTCTTGACTTCTACAACTGTAATTTTTTACTGTAATGTTCAAAGCTGGTTTTGAATGGCTGTTAGTTCCTTGTGATGTCTAAAAACCAGAAACAGATTTGGGAGATGAGGAAGAAATTGGTCTAATTGAGTACTTGCTTTTCATCTCCAAACTAGAGATACATGGTTACCTTTAATTTCAATTACGCTAATAGAAATTAAGGATCTTCTCACTGACATCCATGTTAGGGAGGGAAACGAGGCCTTTTAATTGTGTAACTGACAGTTGGGTAATTCTCCTACTAAACCGTGAGCATCATTAAAACCAGGAATGTACAGTTGTACACAAGCACATGAAATTTCATAAATGAATAATGAAGTAGGAAAAGATGGCTTGATGTGGGTCAGGTAGTCTGATGTTAGTGAATAGTCTCAAGCTGGTTTACGAGGCCTTGGGTGATATGATTTAGCATAAGGTGTCCCTGCCCACGGCAGGGGGGTTGGAACTAGATGATCTTCAGGTCCTTTCCAACCCTAATTATTCTATGGTTCTATGATTTTTAGTCTTTCGTAGAGTATTCCAGAAACTAATGCCTGTGAGAAAATAAGTTTTCATATCACAGTCATTAGAATCTTTCTTGCTACATTTTAAAAATCAAATTCTGTATGTGATTAACCCATAAATACAGTGGTGAAGCTCACTGTACAAAATGCTATCATATTTTTGCTTCCCTTTCTAAAAATAAAGTCCATTTATAATGTATGGAGGAAGTACTATTACATTATATTCTTATAGGGGAATTATTTAGATTTTTCCAATTTATGCGTATGGTGCTTTTTTAGGCAGATGTCAGATCCTTTACCAGTGGAGTCTGTATGATTCTAAGCCCAAAGAAAAGTGAACTGACTAATGAAGTACAGACATTGTATGGCCACTTCCAATATGTTTCTTCTAATTTAACACTAATACAATGTTTTGAAATTTAACTTATGATCTATTTTATAAAGACTTACAATTTATTTGTTTTAAACAATGATGTATTATAGTACACAAAAAAAAGAAGAAAGGTTACAACAGTGCTGTGTGGGGTGAGTTTAGTCAAGTTGAGGTATGTGTGTGCAAACCTGATGTTGGCATAGCAACGCACAGTTCTGCTTTCAGTGGAGGAACTGAACACATGGAATTTCAGTATTTCCTTTTTTGGGCTTTTGATACTAGAAAATATATTGATGATCAAGAAGAAAGGTTTTCTTTAGCCCTAGAACATGTTTTTTGTAATAACATGCTTTTTAGGGCCTTTATGCCCAAGTAATAGAAAGGGGATAAAATGGAAGAATAGATTAAATGGGTATATGTGGCTATGCACATGTAAATATGCATATATGTGTAAGCATACCCACTTTTTCTTGTGTGTCTCCAGAAGCTGCAAGGACTGTATCAGTTCTTAAAACTGGGAGGTAACTTCTAACAGTGCTCAATAACAGAATTATTAAAAAAAAAAAGTGTTGATTATAATGTTTGCAGTATGTTTATCATGAACAAAGAGCAGTTCTGTTTCAGAGTTTTTCAGCTGTTTACTAGCACAACAATACAGCCCTGGGATTTCAAACTAAGAAGGTAATTTTAGCAAAATTACTTTTGCTTGAAATATTCTTAGTATTATAGAATTATTTAAAATAAAAACTTACTTTAGACACTGTAATAACCACTTTGTGGAGGGAATAATATATATGCAGCATCATTCATTACTTGGAAGGAGAAGCTTCTTCCCAGCCCATCAAGGTGTTGAATCAGTTTTTCCTAAGTCTGTGTAGCAGTATTAAGTCAGCATGGCTACTAGTGTATTTCAAATTAAATGCTTTCTCACGATCATAGTTAAGAATCCTGATTTGCTAAAATATCCAGGGATCCCATATCTTATTGTTTAAGAAAAGGATTAAACACATTTGAGTTAAAGAGGTGATTTCCCTCGCAAACAGCCTTGCAAATTCTAATAGGAAATTCCTCCAACGTTTTTTTTTGCCCTTCTTATTGCCACTCCTAGCACTGCCATAAATTAGTTAACAGTTTTGTTGACATTAGTGCACAACTGGGATGGAACTCATTTTCTCATGGTGGGATTAGGAATGAAAGAGTATCTTTGATATGAATGAAATCAGTGAAAAACACTCCATGACACTGAAGCCTTTCAGTATAGTGTCCTAATCCTGCAAGCTACCTGCTCATTATTTATCTTGGCATGCATGAATAGGTGCATGAATTGGTCAGGCACATGCATTTATTTTTTCAGGTTAAGCCCAATGTATCAGGCATACAGAAAATTAGAAATTCTGGAACATAAAGGGGATAGGTTGAATTACTCCAAGTGTATGATTTTCATGAGAATTTATGGGAAAAGTACATTTTTAGAAGCTATTAAAGGATGATTGAGCAGTTTTGGGGGAAAGAGCTCTAGAAAGAGTTAACCATGTGCTAATTTTCAGAAGTGGGAAATATTGGAAAATATGAAATGACCTCCTTAAAAAATTATTATGAAATCTTGATATTTATTTAAACAATGTAAATGTCTTACCAATACAAAATATTTTGTACCTCTGTAACTGATAATCTTTATGATATCTTATTGTTATATTAAAATATCAGTTATTTTTTAAGAATTCAGAAGTGCCTTTATGAAAGCTATAAAGGTGATTACAACAAGCATAAATGTACAAGTTGGTGGAAGCGCTAATTCTAGCATATATTCTATAATTAAATGCTTGGACAAAAGAAGGCTCTGAGGAGACCTTATAACAGCCTTCTAGTACCTGAAAGAGTCCTACAAGAAATCTGGAGGGGGACTTTTTACAGGGTCATGTAGTGACAGGACAAGGGGGAATGGCTTTAGATAGAAAGAGGGGGAATTCAGATCAGATATTTGGAACAAATTCTTTACTATGAGACTGGTGAGACACTGGCACAGGTTGCGCAGAGAAGTTGAGATGCTCCATCCCTGGAATTGTTCAAGGCCAGACTGGAAGGGGCTTTTAGCAACCTGGTCTGGTGGAAGGTGTCTCTGCCTGTGGCAGAGGGGTTGGAATTAGGTGATCTTTGAAGGTCCCTTCCAACTCTAACCATTCTATGATTCTATCTAAACGCTGCAAAAAGGTTTGCAAAAAAAGGTTTGTGTCCTTAGTGATTGATTAGTACTTAAGAGTGAAGAATAGCATTTGGCTACAATGAGCTAGCAATTTGCAATGCATATTGTCTGAGTACTGGCTACAAGTTATTCCCTAATCATACTCACATACCTGGGAATTTTAGACCATACTTAGAACATGTTTGCAGTAGACCTGCAAAAGAAGAGAGTAATTATACTGATTCCCAGGCTAGATCAAACAGTTGCTCCCTACTTAGTCTGGAGCCTTTCTGTTTACCCTCAAAGTTCAGCATAATGCTTTGGTTTTGTATTGTCTGTCTCCAAAGTTTATTAACATTATAGAGTCAACCACAGAGCTATTTTGCACTAATGAAAAGAGGGAAGGAGACAGAGCTAAAAGGAATGAGGAAGAAGCTTACCAAAGTACACTTGCTGAAAGAGATGCTTTTGACCTCTCCAAACTTGGATGCTGGTTCCCTTCACCACTGGTTATGATGACATAGGTGTGTGTACAGCTAGGTGATAAGGTGTATGAGGGAGCTAATATATCTGAAAATAAGCAGGCAGAGGAAGGGAATGTTATTTGGAGTTACAGGAGTTATTTGGAATATGTTACTGCAGTTAATTTGGAAGATACCTGTTTCACTGATAGTACAAGTTTGTGCCAATGTAACCCTCTATCTGTAGCCCTTATGGAGTCTCAGGCATCCTTTCACTTTTCATATAATATATTTGATGTTTTCAAAGCAGATTTCTCCAGGGTGGAGATTGGAAAAATGAGTCAGTTTTCAGAAAATATGTGATGAAAATGATTGTTTATTTTTCTGTGGCATGAGTTAGCATCATTATGTGCTCTTGGAATCTAGAAATGCAGGAAGGAAATAAAGAGCTTGTTCTTCTTCATGGACAAGGTTTGGGAGAATAAGGTGCTCCAGAATCCAGACAAATCACAGACTAAATCCTAAATGGCTACCATCAACTGTGGGGGTATTTTCTGTGATTTTGCTCCCTATGATGGATATTTATATTTGAGTAATTAATGAAGCAGTCTGAATTGAAGTAATGTTTGATACAGTGATTTCTAACAAAGAACAAATGGTATCAGGAATAGAATGGAGAAGTAAAGTAAAAATTGACAAAAAAAAAAAGTAGGCAGATTCTGAGTAGAAAATGAGCTGATTTGGTATTTCTGGAAATGGGGATGGCAATGAACAAATACTTCTAAAAAATTAAAAATAGCTCCTCTGAATTGGTTGTCCTGACATAAAAGGAAGACTGTGAGAA